TGAATGATGTGTAATCTGTGTGCTTGGGAGCTAATTAAGATCTTGTTCATGAGGTGTCATAGACCAGTGGGCAGCCTAAGAGACAGTATAAAAAGGGCTCACAGCACAGATAGTCTCAGACTGCTGTTCTTTACTTCTCTTTGACGTCTTGAGTAAGTTTGACCCCACTTAATCTCTCTGACTTAAAGCATCGTGCTTGAATGGTTTTAACTGAATCTTTCAGAAATACTCTGCTTGTCTTGCTTACATCTCCTTCTCCTTGAAAACACACTCCTTTCACATGCTTTGCTAGATGTAGTGGGTTTTGCTGCCAAACCTGGTGATGGGTGATGTCCAGCTTGTTTGCCACAGGTCACTTTGGGAATGCTCAGCTTGGGCAGCGCTTAGTGTGCAGAGAGCCTGGGAGAGCTCAGGGGACCCGCCTGGGAGGGAGGAGGGGGGTCAGGGAAGGGGAAAGACAAAAGAGGAAAAAAACCACCCGAGCCTTAGCAGAGCAACTCTGTACGGCACGTGCTGAGCCCTCCCTGCTGCTGGCGAGGCAGAGCAGGGTGGTCTGCGCGGCACCTCCCGAGCAAGGGGGTTGACTCAGCCTCCCCGGCGTGTTGCAGGCTCACCTCCCTGCCCGAAGGATGTCCTTCTTCAGCCAGCAGCTCAGCTCCCGCTGCTCCCCGCCCTGCGAGGTGGCCTGCCCGCAGCCCGTGGCCAACGCCTGGAGCCAGCCCTGCGTCACCTCCTGCGGGGACTCCCGTGCCGTGGTCTATCCCCCGCCCGTGGTCATCACCTTCCCAGGCCCCATCCTCAGCTCCTGCCCTCAGGAGAGCTTCGTGGGCAGCTCGTCCCCAGTGGGGCTGGGCCGCCCCAGGGGCCTGCAGGGCTCCCTTGTCTACGGGGGCTCCTTGTGCTCCTCCTCCTCCTCCTCCTCCAGCCAGCTCTGGAGCCAGCGCTACGGGGGCTGTGGGCCCTGCTAAGCATGGCAGAAGGTGTGGATGGCAGGAGAAACAGCGGGGAACTGACGGCAAGACCTGGACATGCAGCTGAGCTGAGGAACTATCCAAAGCCTTGGGCACCCACGATTCCCACTTAATCCATTGGGACCTATGGGTGCTGCTCAGCACCCATGGGAACCACTCTTCTGATTGTCTGTCTTTGCTCTTTTTGGCTTGTGATGTTGTTGTAAACCTGCACTGGTTTCTCAAAATGTGTGTTTTCTATTCTGACAGTATGGGTGAGAAACGGGGTCATTTTGTGCTTCAGCTTCTCTGTGAACATGTGTACCCCTTTTCTGGTTTTATGTTCAACCTAGAAGATGTAAAAAAATTTTTATCAGTGAAGTTGCTTTGTGCTCCCATGTGTTATGCTTCTGTGCTCAGGAAAGCCTTCCTGTATGCTGCAAAGCAGAACTTTTTTGGTAAAATTAGAATTGCTGTAGGGAAAAAAGTGCACCTTGTGTGAAACATTCATTCCTTTTTGACAAATGGCTTGTAATCAGGTCTGAAAAAATAGAAATATTCCTTCATTTTTTTTTGGTTTGTTGTTTGTAAATGCCATTTCATCTTCCAAATAAAAAATTATGCTGCATCCTTATATTAGCATTCTCCTTTTTTTTTTTTTTTTTTATATTTATTTTTTATTCCAGCCTTTCTTCATACCTCTCTCCCTTACATCCCTTTATTATGTGATGATTATAAACACATCTACATGCATAGGGCCAGGATATGGCCTGTGTAATGCATAATTCCTCCTTGCCAGAAGCTGGAACCAGAATCAGCATCTTACATGGTTAATGCCATCATAAAAGTATCTTTGTACTGGGAAGTATGTGTGCTCCAAGACTCAGTCAAAGAATACGTACACAGAGTGTTGTTATTAGGGCTAGAATATGCCAATATTTAACATAGATGTATTTTTATATTCAAATAAATGTATCTACTTTACTTTTGTCCTCACTTTATATTCATGTTGTCACTGTGAACAAGGATCTGTCTGAACCTTGAACACTGTGTTTTGAAGAAAATACCAAAATCATGTCTTTGGGACACATGGGAATATAGCCTAGAAGTACTTTAATAGAAGAGTGCATTAAGATGGCATCCCGTGCCTAATTAAGCTGTTGGGGTTGTATTCTACTTATATCAGACAAAAAAGTCTGTTGTTACAGTCATATAATCAGAATTACACAAACAGCTTTGATATTTAAGGAAGATTTTTAAAAAGTCAAAGCCTCCAAGAAAGGAACTGTTGGAAACTGGAGAACCTCTCTGCTCCCAAGGAATCTGGGGACAGTTTGGTGTTATCTCAGAAAAAAACCAACCACCTTCTCCTAAAAAGACACTATCATCTTGACAGCAATGCTATCTCAGGAGATCCCAGCTATGCATCAGTAATTCTGATCTAGAAATGGCACCACATTTTTCAAGCCAGGTTGAGGGTATGACAACACTTCAGTTCAGAGACATGAATTCACCTTGTCTGGAGGTGTCTGAGAAAACTCCAATTTACTCAGTTTAAGTCATGCTCCCAGCTAAGCCACAAGAGTGCAGTGCTGAGTCTTACGTTATCCCTATGAATATGTATTTTATGGTCCCAGCTAGGTTTTGTGGCCATTCCAGCAACAGAGTTTCTTGTGTCCACATCAACAGCAGCCATGCTTTTTGGCTTGAAGTATGGTCACACCAAAGCACAAATATTTTTTAAGAACTTAGAAATACTGCTCTTCAAACAGGAAGTGCTACTCAACCCCTCCTTGTTGGCAGTTACTCCTTTTCCACTGCTTTCTCCTCCTCTCAGATGGCTCATCCACCTGTGTGTTGTTGTTTGTCTCCTCCTAGGGTGCAGTAGATAGTGCAATAGTACAGCCTGGGTGTGCTATGCTACCACATGAGACAAATTCCACCCACACTGTATGAGGTGCGCTCTTGGCTGGATGACGCCAAAGCCATCCACTGTGGGCTTGGAAGACTTGTACAGAAATACCTGGGCATCCTCAGCAGAATTTGGATTTCAATTGCAAACTGAAACAAAGGGTGTTCCTTTGCTATTCTTGATTGTGATGTTCATCCAAGCTAGTCAGGAAGAGTTTTTAGTCACGCCTGTAGAGAAAGAATCCTAAATCAATTCAAGGAAGTTTTTAGATGCATTTGAATGTCTTTTTTGATGGTGTTATAATAAAATTGTGTGCTGATACAGATAAAAACATTTTATGCTAATTTAGTAAATGGGTTTGATAATTGTTCATGTACAATGGATCCATATGTGCCATAGCAGTACTGCAATTTGTCATACAAGGAATCTGTGCAAACGCAGTCCATATGTCACACTAACTTTGCATTTCATAGGGCTATTTGTCTCTGAATATTTTACTGTACCGTATTTCATCTGGCAAAAAATAGCTGTGAATTGTTTAAGTCAGTGAAGCACATGAAACTTCCATTACATGGGAAAAATCATTCGGATGGCATCCAGATGTTACTTTGTGGGTCTGTAAAATTACAAAAGCAAAGCATGAGGCTGTAACATCATGAGTCAAAAGGAGCAGTTTGGAGTGTCAGCGATATTGATATTAGTATGTAACTCCCTTTGCCCTTTCAGGAGGGCAGGATGGTTAGAGGAGGGATGCATCTCCAGGAACTAAGTGATTCACCTGTAGGTATCTGGAGGTATATGCCATCACTGTCATCACCTGCTTCCAAAGTGAAACCAGGTGTGGTTCGGGCAGGAGGAGCAGACCATGGGGGTTGTTTCCCCACAACGTCTTCTTCCCTTTGTTTCTATTCCTGGCTCTTGTTTATGTGAATCCTCTACCATAAACTATCAGTAGCTTTAAAGGGTGTCTCCACAGGCCTTGTTAGGAAACAACACTGAGGGAAATCCCAAGGTGGCCCTGGAAAAGAAGCTTCCTCAGCCTTCTTGCATGGGTTACCTGTACAGCATTACTCTGTAGTATTGGTAACAGTTATCAAATGCCGATGGACAAACTGGAATAAAATTAACATTTTAAAACAGAAGTCTTGAGATTACTCAAACCCAGGCATTCAACCTTAAATTCCTTGTGAGGGGATGGATTTTAGAGGGGAAGAACTTATCTTCTTGAGGTTAAAAAAACGTTCATAATTTATGTCAACTTGGGTACACAGAATGCATAGACTCTATTGAAAATAGTTTTATCAGTAAATAACTGAAGAACTAAAGACAGGGTACTGGATCTGAGGAAGAAATCTGCTGAAGTAAGCAGCCAAACCTGCATCAGCTGAAACTGCACTTTAAGGTTCCAGCCCAAAGCTTTCCTAGGGTGATGCATGGCTTCAGCCCCTGACTGTTTCATCCCAAACCATGAATTGTTCATCACTCAGGAGCCCTGAGGTCTTCAGCGGTGACCCCGTGGAGTCCCTGACAATGAAAGCTGGACATGGAGTTCTCATTGACTGAGGCTCCTGTCGCCCACGACAGGGCTGGATAACAGCAGCTCCCTGTTTATACGTTATTCCACCTGTACTTTTGAAGCTTGAAGTTGGACATGTGCTTTGCGTTTGGTTCTTGGCTAGGAGGCCGGTAACAAATGTTTCCCATTTCCAAACCTATAACTCAGTGAGAAGGTGTCTATGGAGTCTAATGTGCCTCATACCAGAGTCATAGGAATTAATGTGTGTGGGCATGATGGGATAAATTGCACAATGCCCCCTTACTGGACCATGAATCGGAAAAGTGGGGTAGTTTCTCAGGTATGTCAGCATATTGTGTTTATGGATAAACTTCTGAGCAATCTTTGCTTCATGAGGCAAGCAGAGAAATAGGAAAAAACAATAACAGAAAAAAGAAAAATTACTCTGCCAGAGTAATGATAATAACGCAATAGTAATCACCAGTGCTGAGCAAAATGTTTGCATTATCTGGGGCAGTTACAGGTGGAGTGAATTTTTGTTTGATAATGCATCAGGACATCATACATGAGGAATGTTTCATACCCTCCCAATTGCCTAAGAAAAGGCATAAAAGCGCTCACAGTTCTGGGCTGCTCTAACCATTTCTCCTGACTTGCTCTTCGCTGCCAAGGGGTAAGTCTGAGCTTGACACTGTTGCTATTACAATATTGCTGTAACAATGCAGGATTTTAACTGTAACAAAACTGTGATTCTTAGAAATGTGTGAAATGTCTGCAGCTTTCTTTCAGAAAGAGCTCTTTGCTACTTATTCAGTGGCAGGCTGTAAAAGGGCAGGAGTTTTCAGAGCAGTTGAAAGTTTAGCATATGCCAACTTATTTATGGTGAGATTTAGTGAATTCCTATTTCCTCCAGCCTGACCACCCTGCCTATATGAATCTGCCTTACTTGTTTGCATTGTCTTGTAATGGTGACTACCAAGAAAAGTTAACTCTGAGTCTCAGACTGGACTAGGAAGCCACTATTAGCAATAACATTTTGTCCTGTTCTTTGCAATTATTTCTGAATTCATTTGAAGCCTGTCATGCATTACATTATGTACTTGTTATGGTCAGGGCTTTATTAATTTTCTTTATTCACAGCCTTTCATTTTATGGGTTTTAGTAAGGCGGGACAGAGATCAAGAGGAGCTGCAAATCAATTTTATGAGTGATGAAGTGATCTTATGATTAAAGAAAAGGACTCCACAAAATTACACACAGCTCCTAGTTCTGCCATAGTCATCTGTTACCTCAGTCATCTTTAGCAGGACAGCTGGAATCAGATTCACAGGAGTCATGGTTATACTGGAAACCTCACTGATACTGCATTCCCACCCAAACGTGGGGTATTCTGCCAAGGAAGCTGTCTTTACAAGCTCTTCAGGGATGTGGCTGCCGCTCAGTTTATCTGGGTAAAGAACATGCAGGAGAGTCCTGGTGCCAGCTGTAGCATCTGAAAGACTGAGGAATAACACTGTCATTAACAACAGGCTTGCCTGAGTTTTAACTCTGTCTCTCCTGTTACCTCACCAAATGGCTCTGGGCAATGAATTCACTTCTGAGCCTCAGTTATCTCTTCCTTAAAGCTGGAATAACAATGACTTGCCTCATATAGTTGTAATGATTACAGGTGGTGCAGAACCAGTGCAGGTTGTTACTATATAAGTGCTAGCCAGTGTTTCTGTTCTTTTCTGCAGTCACTTATAAAAGGACAGGTCAGGTGTCACAGTAAGGCAGATTCAAAAGGGAATGGTGGAAAAGAGAGATGGTAAAGGATGGGGAGATAGCTCAAGTTCAGATACACAATTTCTTTGACTGTTAATGATGTTTTTATGTATCAGATTGGCCTCATGATTAGGAGTCATCAGAAACAGAGATTGTTCCAAGGGAGAGGAGAAGGTCATGAGAAGATGAGGAAAAGGACATGGCTGCTGAGACAAAACTGAAATCTTCAGCCTGCTCCTGGTCTTCTTGATATCTTTTATTCTTTCTCTTCCAAGCACAATCTTCTTTATATCAGTATCTGAGATTTCAGCCTTGTGTTGCCTTGGTGTTGTGTGTTTCAGATTTATCTCCATTCCTAGAAGATGTTTTCCTACAGACAGATGAGCAGCTCCTGCTGCCTTGCGCCCTGTGAAGTGACCTGCCCGCAGCCAATTGCGAACGCCTGGAGCCAGCCCTGTGTTACATCCTGTGGTGATTCCAGAGCTGTGATCTACCCACCACCCGTGGTGATGACTTTCCCAGGACCCATTCTCAGCTCCTGCCCCCAGGAAAGCATAGTGGGCAGCTCAGCACCATCCAGCATTGGGAGCTTGTTTGGATCCATGCGTTCTCTGGGTACCAGTGGCTCCTATGGCTCTAGGAGCTTGTACAATTATGGGAGGTCATATTCTTCCTATGTATCCAGTGGTTACGGTTTTGGGAGCTGCAGACCATGTTAAATGTGACATGAATAAGGAACAAGAAGCAATCACCCAATATGGAGGAAGATGTGCCTCCGTAAACCCTGTTACTGGCATTGCTTTCCTGGAATGTGAACTATGCATTTCTGAAAATCACACTTACATGTAATTCTCAAGATAATGATTTAATTTAGTCTTCTGACTATTCTGTCCAGTGGCTCCTGATAATAATGGCTTTGAAATAGTTATATCAATGATCTTTCTCTGGTTGAAAGAGGGACGAAATTGTGTAAGTCTTCCCATGCCATGAGAAAGAAAGTGTAATGTATGTGGAATATGTAGCCCTGGAGCAATTCTTTGCTTGAAGCCTTTAATGACCCTGGCAACATTTCCCCTGTATTTTTCATTTGCAATAAGATCTTTTACTTCTTGCTTTTTCATTAAATTATTGTGCATCAAAATTCAGAGTTTTTTGTTTTTTTTTTTTTGTCCACTATTTTTTGTTTATATACCATTTGGGGTGAGCGTCAATCTCTGTAGTGAAACATTACTGTTTTCTTTCAACACCTGACGTTGGAAGGTGACCATGTACTTTAATCAGGAACAAGCCTAATGACTGCCTCCTGCACAAAAGTAATTTCATGCTGGATAAACATGTTTTGTAACCCTTACAACTAAGTTTGAAATTTCCTCCAGGACAGGTGTGGTTACAATCTGTATCTGCTACATGCTAGCAAAGAAAGTTAAATACATGAGTAACTTTAAAGATCTTCCCTGTGTCTCACTACCTGCCTGAGGCTTCAATTTAATTACATCCCCATACACTGGTTTTATGATATTTTTCATTGTTTAAAAATAGCATGTAATGATCTGTGGGTAGAACTTTCCTTTGAATAGCCAACAGGAATTTTTAACTGAATGGCAAATCTTTGCTGAAATTCTATGAGTTCTTTAAACTTTCCCATTAATACCACTAAATTCTTGGCAACCCCAGTTAAAATAAATAAAAGTATAATTCTTAAGTCTTCCCTGCAAAGCAACACATATCATTCAGACCAAATAATATTTTCCATCTCAGGAACTTTACACCTAAATTTCAGGCTATTCACAGATGACTCTGGGTACTGGACATGTTCAGCACTTTGCTCAACAGCAGTACAGTTCCAGGCTGCTCAGTATGTCCTGTAGAGTTGTTTTTCTAGTGATGCAATTTGTATACAATTAGTACAGCTATTAAGAGACATTCGCCCCACCCCACGCTTGCAATGCTGACCAGGACTCTGATGGACCAGACATCAGACACTGCTCAGCACTTCTGCTCTCCCCTGTGTGCAGCTGCTGTTCCCGGGAACACCAGCAATGCACTGTCAAACTGCACAAAACTTGAGCAAGCTAATTCCAGACAAACCCTGGTCTCACGCTGCAGAAATTTGTTTGGACAGGCTCAAGCATGTGGTAATAACTTCAAAGGGTTTGGAAGCATGACTTCACTTGTAAAACTAGCTGAAATGAGATGAGGCTACAAAGAGGTAGCCAGGCAACACCTCTTTCTTGTTAGAATGTGTCTGAAGGCTTTGTCTTGTTTTTATGCTTCCTGTGTCTCCAATGCACTGCATGATTATTCTTGGAGTCGCTAGGATGCTGTCAAAAAACCAGTACTTATTCATGCAGGTATGCAGAGCACTAAAGCAACCAGATCAGGTATTTTCAAGACACATCACTATGGTGTTGATCACTACAGAAGTCTTGCCAAGATTTTTGTTTTCATCCCCCACAGAACAGTAGAATCACAGCGATCCTCTCTGCAGCCAGTCTTGCTGCACCTCTGCACTGGACTTGCAAGAGCAGCCAGTTTCTCGTGCTGCGGTGAAAGGGTGCGCTCAGACATCCTGCAGTGTGAATGTTGTCAGCATACCGGGATGAAGCTGCTCCACCTACGTACTTGTTATACTGCAGAAAAGGCACACGTGGGAGCCAGAAGTTAGAGCCTGGGCTACAAACAGATCACTGTAGTATGTATTAATTGTCTGATGGTGCTTGAAGACATAGCACGCCTCAACACCATTATTTGGCAAAGTGACCTGCAGAGACTGTCCCTCGGAGAGCAGGAACTGCAAAATTTGCACTGCTGAGTCTCATCTGCCAGACCGAATTTGTATATTATAACCATAGACCAGAGCAAACAGCAAAAGATAGCTCTTGAACTGTCTTCCATTGTTCTGTACTGCTCCTTACTGTCAGCAATCAGCCACCTCCCAGATGCACAGCACAGTGAACTTGGATCACGCTTTCACGCAAGTGTAATCACAGATGAACACAGGAGAAGATAAAAGAACTCGTTTCATTGGCAGACCCAATGCATCTCAGGTTACACCTCATGCAGATATGAGATGGGAGGAACACCAGACGCTGTTTGTTATGATAATCTGGAAAGAGTGCTGAGATCTGGACAGTCTGCTGGCCACAGAAACATGGGGACCACATCTGACTGCGAGGACTCACGCAGTTCTTGGTCAGCCATGGAAAGGCCAAGCCGTTGGCAGTGAGCACCAGCAGCTCAGACTCCTCTTCCGCCTGTCAGTGAAACAAGTAATTACCAAGAAGAAGAAGCAACAATAAATGAAAACACACTGTCTCATCTTGAACTATAGAGGTCACTACACTCGCCTCTCTTGTCTAAATGTGCTCTGAGTGTGTGTTTATATCCTACTACAAGTTAACACTATTGGTAAATGAGATGCAATCAAAAGTTGATTCATAAAGATGTAAACACAGCCTGAAAGATGTGTCCTCCCCACGCACTAAATTACAGTTCAGGACAGATATCTGCTGGAGTTAAGCCTTTCATGCTTGATTTAAATAAGTGGACTCACTAAATATTTACTCACTACTAGAGCCTAATGATTTTTTATGTGGTTCAGACTCACACCACTGGTAAATAGCCTGCAGGCACAATGGTTCAACATAACACAACCAGAAATATGCCCTGCTGAATGCCAGCTCCCTTCCAGGGTTTGATTCTGGAGGAATTAACAAAGTGCCTACTTGCGGTCTACTTTTTATCAGTTTTGCAATTGGAGAAGCTGAACTTGAACGTTTCAGATGTTTTAAATAAAATGTTCTATCAGAGGAACATGAAGAAAGGAATATTTTTTTTAGCTCATTATCCTCTTTTACTTAGAAAATAAATTATAATAAACAATGTCCTGAATCCTTAAGTCACTGTTTCTTGGAAGTGTTCAAGGTCAGATTGGATGGGGCTTTGAGAAACCTGATCTAGTGACAGATGTCCCTGCCTGTGGCAGGGGGGTTGGACTAGATGATCTTTAAAAGTTCTTTCCAACCCAAACCATCCCTTGATTCTATGATTCTATGAGCTGTTAGATTTTCTATATCCTGTATACTGCTAGTTGTGCCATGTACAGTCTTTCACATAAAATAAAGAGAAGTCCATGAAAACATGCCAGTTTGACTGATTATCCAATATTCAGAGTTCTGTCTGAAAAAAAAAAAAAGGGTTATTCGTGATTTTAATCACCATCATTATTGACTCACACATAGCAGTCAGACTACTGACCCAGATTACAGGCAAATTTGAGTATTAACATGTAAATTAACATTACGGAAATTCTCCCTGTTCCAGTATATGCCAGTGTTCCTGACACCAGAGCAGAGACAGACAGGAATATTCCACTGCATGCTCCTTGTCCGCTGCTATTTTCCTCTTTTTGTAAAGGAGATGAGAGTAACAGTGAAAAGCAAACCTGAAGGTAACCACTGGAATAGGAAACTGGAAACAGAGACCTTATGACAATTGTTAGATGGGGGATATTGGAGAGAGGAATTCAGGTCTGGGCTTTGCCAAGCGATTGCTTTGCCACCTGGGGAAAATATTTACTAGTGTTCTTATCAGTATAGAAAACACAGCCTTTAATCTCTGTATAAAGGATGACTTCCTGAAAAAATGGGACAAGAGCAATGATGCTCATGCTTTGTTTGTCTTGTCTGTTTTCTCTGAAAACACTTGAGGTCAGGGATTGGCTTTATTCTTTGCACAGCACAGAACTTGTCTCATTTCTACCTTCATTACAAATTGAATTGGCTGTATTACCAGAAGCACGGAGTCTCTGCTGTTCCTGATACTGCACTACAGTTATTTCATAGAGGGAACAGGGATTATTCCTCTCTTTTTGCTGGGGTGGAAAGGCTGATGATTGCAAGGAGGAATAAGTATTAGCTACTTGGGATGTCTGGAGTTTAAGTACCGATGAGCAGTGTCAATGTGGTAGATTGAGCGTTATATTTGTGAATTCATAGGTGCAAATTTACATTTGGAAAGTACTCTGCCAGGTACCACCTTGGTGGCATTTATGGTCATGCTGAGCAAGACATGGAAACTCTCAATTTTCTGTTAGGATGCTGATGGAAAGGTCCCACTGAAATCATGTTGAAATAACAGGAGTTAAGATACCACATTACTTCAAACTTTTCCTGTCTTCAGAGGATGGAAAGCTGCTACTCCAGAGTGTCATTACAGAAACATTTGTCAATGTAAATTCAGTCTGTGTTAAAATGTTCTGCAGTACTACCAAGTTAGCAGCTTGGTCCTGCCTGTGGGAAGATTTCACCCAGGACAGGCTGTGGATGAAGGGAGGAAGGGAAACCAGAAGGCTGCTGTGTGATGCAACAAAATTTTAATGAGCAAGAAATGCCTATGTTTGCAAAGCAAGGTATCACAGAATATGAAAAATCTGTTTCCAGACAATTTCAGAGAATGTACAACAAATGTCCTGCTCAAAGATATTGCCGTCCTCAGCTGGCTTTCTTCTGTCTGCTGTGCAACCGCTGATGAAGATATATGTCATTATGAGTGATGTCCATATAGAATATGCTGCCCCATGACGGTTAAAAAAAAAAAAATGAGAAAGCTGGAACAGTAGCAAACAACAAACTAGAAATTGCAGGGTAAACAAAAAGTAGAATAGAAGATCAGAAATGCTAAGTGGCAGTAGCTCCACTGCAGGACTGCAGGAACACTGAACCCACATCCTCATTGCTCGGTGTTTGGGCCTTCACGTGTGGCTCTTCTGAGGCTTCCGCAGCCTTTAGCAGGGCCCACAGCTGCCGCGGAGGAACCGGCTGTACCGGCGGGAGGAGTACGGGGTGCAGTACCCGCTGCCAAGAGTGGAGAGGGCTGAACCCCCATATCCATACTGGGCCCCATATCCCAGAGAGCCCCCATAACCGTAGAGGCTCCCAGAGCCATAAAAGCCCCCCAGCCCCAGGGAGCCCCCAAAGGCGGGTGCTCCGGAGGAGCCCACCACGGCTTGCTGGGGGAAGGAGCTGAGGATGGGGCCGGGGAAGGTGACCACGACGGGGGGCGGCTGGATCAGGGCTGTTGAGTCGGGGCACTGCCGGACACACGGCTCATTGCAGCTGTCGGCGAGGGGCTGGGGGACGGCGACACTGCCGGTGGTGGGGCACAGGTCGTAGCAAGACATTTCTTTGCAGGGCTGAAGGCGATCCTGAAACACAGAGCACAGAACTGTGTAAAAAACAAAGCACAAGATCTACTGGAACAACACAAGGTTTGGTGCTGAGTTGTTGGGGAACAGGCAAAATGATGACCAGAAGCATAAGCAAAATTAATGGTGGTGTTCACAAATTCTCCTGTCAATCAACATTGCTCTGATCTTCCCTATCCAGTAATCCCTGCACTTGTCAGATCCACCAAGCCTTCTGAAATTGCTGCTTCTTCCTTCTCTCTCTTTTTTTTTTTTTTTTTTTTTTTTTTTTTTTTTTTAGTTTGTTTTTCCTGCCAGAGGAACAGATGGCGCATTTTTTTACTAAAACACCAGTGCTCCTCCCTGGTGAACGTGGGTTGAAAACCAGGAGCTGCAGGAGCTACCCCAGCGCTGACCTTGTTATGCTGAATGGAACAGGAGCAAGTTTTGTCTTGGGAGAGATGGGATGGCGTCAAGAACTCAGCACTGCCTTAACCACACACTTCCTCCTCCTTTCCTAGTCCTTGTTTCTTTTCAAGCTCTTTGGGGCAATATACTTTCAGTTCTTCCCTTTTACTTCTGCATTCTCTTAATCTTCGTAACCTCTCTGGTAAAACCCCCAAAGCATTTGAGCCCGAGGATAGATTCATATACTTGATGTAATAAATAAATGTACCCTATAAAATATTTATATCTAAATATTTCTTGGCATAGCAGTGTAATTTCATACAGAGCATGGAGCAGGCTTGTAAAATGTAAGGAGACAATTTCTTCATCAGATAAAAATACAGTTTTCAAATTAGCATATTAGCTTAACATCTGGTCACAAAAGCTTCTGATTTAACACTTTTTTTCTAGTAAAAAATAGGAAATATTATTTTATTCATAAAGTAGCCCTGAAATGCAGAGAATCAAATCATTAAACTCAGTGTATCTGAACAGCTAATCTGGATCTGTATTTACAAATGGACATATGACAAATACACCAGATCACACCACTGATCTACTTCCCTTATTATCATCTTTGATGAAAATAACTAGGGCTTAAAATAAGCAGGATTTATTTTTTTTCCTATCCATAAAAATGAAATACAAGCTAGGATTATTTTACAATAAAATTCTGATGCAGATAATGCAATTTAGCTCTATGATTTACTCATTAACCTAAATGGTATAGGAGAATTCTGCATTTTAAAGTTTATGCCATCCTACATTTTAAATCTGCTAACAATACAAGAATGCCCAAATATGAATTACAGTGAAATAAATGTCTCAAATCCTTGTCTCGAGTCCTAAAGCCTACCAGTACCAGAACTTGCAAGCATACTAGGGAAAAAAAAAAAAAAAAAAAAAAAAAAAAAAAAAAAAAAAAGAGAGAGAGAGAAATAATTAAAAAATAGTCCTAAAACATGTAGTGAACAGTATTCTAAGCTCCAGCACAAAGGCATTCTGGCATTTAGAAATAAATTAAATGGCATCAGACTTACCTGATGTAGAGGAGAGTACACAGGAGAGGAAGATGGAATAGGTCTGCGTACCTGCTCCTTTTATACAGTGCTTCAGATTGCCTGGGGGGTCTGAGGCACACCGTACACATGAAGTCATAATCACCAACCAGCCCAAATTTGAAGCACATATAACTTCCCAAAGTGATGAAACTGTTTTCGCTTGCTGTTTGCAAAATCACCCTAAATCTCTGAATAGCATGATATGCACATTCCAGCTCCCAGTGCTCTTTCATCTTAAAGCCTAATTGACCAGCAAAGAAGCTGGTATCATTCCACCCTGTTCATTGGCATTGCAGGAGGAATTAAACTGGTTCTATATATTTGGCACTTCCTTCATTAACTTCCCGTAATGATTTTAATCTGAGCTATAACTTGCTGTCGTATACATGTTTGGATTTAAGTGCTTTAGATCTAGGCTGTAATCTAATCTACTCACACATTTTGCAATGAAATGCTCAGTGAGGTGGAAGACACCTTCTGATCCTTTTCCCACCCACAGCCACAGAATATGAGAGAAGTCCTCTACCTATGGGACACTGTCTAATGGCCTTTGCTTTAGAAATTCTGAATTTTCCTTGTTGCTTGGCAAGACCAGCAGAAAACAGTATTTTAGTACCTGAAACAGTGTTTAAAGCAAAGACTGAAATTTTCTCTGAAGCGGTATCAGTATTTTTTTTTTTTCTTCCTTATTTTTCATCTGGAATCTGTAAAAGCACACAGAGTTTATCTCACAGGTTCAGCAATGTAGAATGGCACCAAATGCAAGCAGATTAATAGTTACTAGCTACTCTGTGTTGACATTGCACAGCTCTGAAGGAGGACATAACACAAACAGTGGTGAAGCAGGTGCAACTTTCTCCTTTTAGACTTAAGGGGTAAGCGGCAGGAAAACCAATGTAATTATCCAAGGAATAATTATTGCAACAATGTATATATTTTGTTTTCCCCTCTTATTTCTTTCCTGACTAGCAGGACATCACCTGCAGAGTACACATTGTTGCAGAGCCAAATTTTGACGCCAAGACTTCAAGTGACTTGTCACTTGAAATTACTCAGGCTTCCCCAATACTTAGTGGGGAGGGACAAGAATTTCTGTAAGACAATTCATCCTGTCTCAGACGCTTACCTTACCAGAATTGGTATCACCCTCAAAACGCAACAATTTTGCTTTCATTGACTGTAGAGACAGACAACAAGCTCAGCTGAAACACCCAGATTTAAACAGGAAGGTTTGATGAGATGTGTCCCACCCATATTCTGAAATTATGTGTAATAAACACTGCCTGGTCCAGCCTCAGAAATCCTCGTTTGCCTATGGATCAGTTGTTCAGCAAATAATAAACACTGCATCATTTCTACCAGAAGTTAAACTATGAGGGCTTTTTTTCCCCAGACTTTGAGATGGCCCTAGGGGATCACAAGAACAATAATACTCACAAAGGTTATTCAGATACTTTTGTGTGTGTTTTTAAGCACTTCCCAAACCCTCCTTAGTAGTTTATGTATTAAGTGGTGTGTCATTATTGTAATATAAGTATGTGGTTGGATTCAAGCAGCCCAACATTTTGAAATATATTTATTAAATTATACTGGTCAAGAGCACTGTTCCTATTCCCTTTACCAGCTCATGTAGGATTGCAGTAGGTTTTCTTTTATAATTTAGGTTTTCATTTATTTGTTTAAGTTTGTGTATAAGCTCCTTCAGTGCTGATGTACTAATGCACATCTCCTTCAGTGTCTGTAGCATGAAGATCTGCAACATCTACCTCTATCCTCATATTTAGAAAGATTTTCCTAGGACTTTCCTAGTCTAACTGTGAGCAGTTTACTTTTCTTCTGTGTTTTAAACACATGCTCAACTTCCTAAAATATATATATATTTAAGAAGTTGCCTGTAATCTAGGTAATAAACTTTTTACATTTGTTGTGACCAATGAATTTATCTCTAAAATGTGAAGAAACCATACAACTGGGTAGTACTTCACAATATATCTTTTGATTTTTTCCCCTGAAAAGTGCAGGATGGTCCTGTTCAAATCTTAATTTCAACTTCATATGAGGATTGCTGATTTCACAAGAAAGACATGATGTTTTATATCAATTGTACTGTATCTAACACCGATAAGGAAGGATGGAAAGAAAACCTGCATATGAAAGCAGATGGCAATTATGATTAACATTTGAACCACCATCATTATGTCAACCAATAAAAGAAGAGGTAAATAAATGAAGCCAGCATAATTCCTCCTGTCATTCTAATGTATTTAATGGAATGTTACCAGGAATGAATCTTGCCAATTAAGTGCTAAGATGAAAGAAATATTTGTTTTGTAATTTGCATTTCATGCAGCATGAGCATTTGAATCAACTAATAAACATAAATATTGAGCAAAACTGTTTCATCATTTTGAGGTGAACCATGTGTGATAAATGTGGGTTGGTGTTAATGGGAGTCCCAGGTTCTTCAGGTGGTTTGAGGAAATGTATAAAAAGTCCCACCTCAAAGCTGCATTGTATTTCATTGTATTTGCTTCTCTTGCCTCCTTCTTCCTAGAGTCAGCTATTTTCTATATATCAGACTGTTTTGTTTAGGTTTTTGTTTTTTTTTTTTTTTTTTTTTTTCCCCTGTAAATTTAAATTAGTCCTCTTTTGTCATTTATGAGGAAGCAATGTTATATACAGGTTTTAAAGGTTAAGCTGGTATTTTCCACAATGTATTATATAGGAGCTGTCAACTCTCCACTAGTTCAAATCTCAGTTATAATCTGCTAAACAGATAACAAAGCCCAGGACTACAGTGCTGCAAACTGCTCTGTGCTCCTGCACCACAAAGGCCTCAGTTGCAGACATGTTTAACAGAGGATATGTCCTCTTGATAGTTAACTATTTGGTCTTCCAGCTTCTGTTTCAAATTAGTTTGTGTGGAAGAAAGCCAGAGCTTGAAAGGGATGTAAGCAAAGCTTACTCACTCATGGCAAAAAGGGTCCCAAGGGTGTTAGGAATCAGGTGAGGACAGTTCATTCAATAACATCAGGAGTCTTACCCTAAACTTCAGACCACATGGAACTGACTATTATGAGACAGAATATAGGATAAGAATAACCATTTGTCTGAGGAAACATGTGACCTATATTCCTGTGTTTCCACTAAGCAATGATAAACCATCGCTTTAAAAACATTTTTCTTACAGGACTTATACAAATTTGAGGAATTAGATCCACAGCAGCAAGTAGGTCTTGGTGGGGTAGCTACAGTCAGGTGGGATGGATCTGAAGCCAGATTAGTGTTGCAGAGGATCCAGACTGCTGTGCTTTTCCCATTTCCATGAGATCTAAGCTCTTCTTCCTGTTCCAGGGGAATTTGTGCTGTTATGCTTATGTTTAGTCATGTTTCCAGTTGGCCAATTCATGTCCAGCACCAGTGCCAATACCTGCAAGGAGCTGACTACTGTGACCCGAGGGCAGTGGCTCAGCCACCATCCGTTGTCATAACCTTGCCAGCCCAGACGCTTAGTTCCTTCCTTCAGGACAGCATAGCGGGATCTTTGTTACCACCTATACTTAAGGGCTCTTTTTGTTATGGGAGCTTTTGTTATGGTAGTCCTTACCACAACAGATTTTCCTACAGATTTGCAGGTCCTGGCAGCAAGTAGAACATCCCTTCTGGCTGTTGTTTTGATACTGGATACCACCGTAGAAGCTGTGGGTCTTGCTGGAAGATCTATTCAATTTACCAGAGTCAACTAAATAAAAACAAATAAAAGGCAGATTTATAGCTGACTTTTTAGGTAATGAGTGCCAAGAAGTGTGCTTTATGCACTGTCCAGTTACGGAGAGTGGAGCTGGGCATGCGCAGCAGCTCTTGCCTTTCTCTCTTCATATTCTGCCTTCAGTTTCTGGTTGGATGTTCTCTGAACATTGTTATGTCATGCTTAGCCATACTTCCTACTGGAGGAAAATAGGTAGCCTGAGGTCTTTTGGCAGCTGAAGCACAAAAAGAAATCTTGTGAGATAAATATCTGCTTGAATCAGGAGATAGTTACATGCTTTACTGATAACTTAAAAGGATACATCACGTATGGTGCAGTATTTTTGTTCAGTTTTAGGCTACCTATATAATATTTACACAAATTCTATTTATATTTAATATATGCATAACTTAAACAGAGTCAAAGAAGTCCCCAAACCAGGAACTCAATCAGATATACTGTGAAATTATGTACGTGGTCCTTATTGTGGGTTTGAAGAAGTGTCATCTGCACACAGACAGAATTTTGGAGAGTGAGACAATTTAATAGCATGGATCTAGGCTAGTCTGTGCTAGAAAAATGCAGAACCTGAAATTCATTTAATATCAGTCACCAAGCTTACATTAAGAGCTGTGGAAGTGTAACTACTTGTATGACATTGGATTAGAAGTCTTCAGTGGAATAATCAAGAGTTTAACTTTCAGAGTGTGAACAGTCACTCATAGTTCAAAGAGTTATCTCACAAACACCCAAGTGGGGAGTCTGGTAAAGTAATGTGTAGAGAAAGCAGCTGTTCATCTATGGCCAGCATGTTGTGACCATGCTGTTGCAATTCAGTGGTGAAACAGGCCTAACAAGAGCTCCTCGCGGAGACTTTCACTATGTGGGCAGGGTTTGCACAATATTATTGCAGCCCGATGTACAACAGGCAGATTTATCCAGAAAAGCTGGAAAATTCAGAGTGGATGAGAGCACAAAACCACAAGACACTTATTTTAGATGATGCAACAGAATTTTAATGAGAACAAAAAGGACAAAAATATGTTGCAGTATTAAGAATATATATCCAAGATGTCAAGAGTCAAATGCAATTTGAATGTTGCTGTTACATGTCTCACTGCATTCAGTCACAAATATGATAAAGTAGAAGATAACAAGGAATTGAACCCATTAAGATGTCAGGAAAGAATTCAAAGGGGAAAAAGGAGAGATGTAGAGCATGCAGAAGGCACTGCAATGAACAGGATTTGTGAGTGCTTGCACAAAGCTGTCACCCATCTGCTCACTGGTGAATCTGCATTTTGTTTTTCACTTGCACGTTATTCAGTGGATTTTCCTGTTGTATTTAGCAGGGCCCGCAGCTGCCACGTCCGTACCTGTTGTACCAGTAGGAGTAAGGGCTGCAATAGCCATAGCCATAGGGTCTACCATAGCCATACAGACCCCCATAGCCCAGGGAGGATCTCCCATAGCCATACAGACCCCCGTAACCAAGAGAGCCTCCATAGCCATACCGACCCCCAAAGCCCAGGGAGCCATAGCCCCCATAGCCATACAGACCCCCATAGCCCAGGGAGCCGTAACCCCCATAGCCCCCAAGGACGGGTGCTCCAGAGGATCCCACAACAGATTCCTGAGGGAAGGAGCTGAGGATGGGGCCAGGGAAGGTGACGACGACTGGGGGCGGCTGGATCACAGTCGTGGAGTCGGGGCACTGACGGACACACGGCTCATTCCCGCTGTCAGCGAGGGGCTGGGGACGGGTGATGCCACCAACAGCAGTGGAGCACAGGTCGTAGCAAGCCATCTCGCAGGGATGGGAAGGTAAGCTGCAACACACACCGATGAGTAAATAAAAGGCACAAATTCACTGGGAAAAATAATGTGATAGACACACAGACTAGAATAGTGGCTTCATTTTTCAGGTCTTGAATGTCCTTCCTTCTCCTCAGTATTTTTCATGAGACATCTATCCCTCTTCTAAATCAGCATTGCCCAGATTTCACACTGAGCAGTCATCTCTTCAATGGTCTTATTCCTAATTTCTTATACTCGATTCCCTTTAATAAGTAGTTCCTTGTTGTATCCCACTGCCAAACACTGCAAAAATATTACACAACACCTTACTTTTCAAATTACTTCCAGTATACTTTGCGGCCCCTCTTACAATGTCTGTGCCTGAAAGGTCATTTCATGTTTGTTTGATGCTAGCAAAACTTGACAACCAGCAAAGCTCATGTGGTAAAGTAGTGGGTAGCTGGAAGAACAACTCTGGCATATTGACTTGTAACGTGCTTCCAGAAGCAATGGTTAAAATTGTGCTGCTGGTATGCTGAACCTGCTATAAACATGGATTTTAAAAGGCATTCCCTGCCCTGAAGTGCTTGCAAAGTAGCTTGATAGTCTCAGGGTGGGCAGAAAGATTATTTGTGTGATTTCCCAGATGGGAAACTGGTACACTCAGATAACTAGGGCTAGGTTTCTACTACAGATAAGTGTGTTGGGATCTGAGATCTTCAGAAAGATTTTCACCAGAAGACCTGATCCAATCTAAAAAAAAGCCAGTGGAAGGACTAGGAATACCAACTGTGAACAACTTTTATCCCCACTACAACCAGTAAAATATCAGATTAGGAGATACTTCTGAAGGTCATCTAGCCCAACTCCCTTCTCAGAGCAAGGACAATGTAAAAGATAGGTTAGGATTTGCTAGTTTCATCTCTGTTTTCCAATACTTCTTAGACAATACTATGTTCTTTCTAGTCAAGCTTGTCCCCTCAACAAATGCATACATATACATAAACATATAGCAAAAACTTACACACAAAATCCTTAAATTTTCCTAGTGATCAGACTAGCCTTCTGTTGATGTTTTGGAAGCTGCTTTGAAGCTCAAATTTGTCTTAACAGGAAACAATAATTTTTGAAAAACCTAGCATTACCATTTTAAACCCGAATACATGGGTGTCTAACACTAAATAAGAAAAATAAATTCATGGCAAAATAATCTGACATTATTATGAATCTTAGAAAATTTATGGATTATTCCAACCTTAATTAAAACTGGCAGAAAAGAGTTACTTGAATTTTAGGAAAGAGATCACACAGAATGGTACTTACCTTTTTCGTGGAGATGAATAAAGCAAGCAAGGTGGAATGAAGAGCCCCGAGTTGGGAGAGCTTTTATACAGTTCTCTAGATCATGGGGATCACCTAAGGTGCAATTTGTGCATATGCATAATTGGGGCAAACCCAAAACTAATATGACACGTAGGTCCTCAAAGTTTTGCTGACTATTTGTTTATTTGTTAGTTCGAAGTCTCGTGAAATATGATAGGTGCATTTCATCACAGAAGCCTCTTTCATCTCAAAAGGTTACGTGTCATATTCATTCCTGTTATCATTCCATTCACATCCTTGGCGTTACAACAAGAATTATACTAATGCTCTTCCTTAACATCTCCATTATTAATGGCAAATCCCAGCTGCTCACTGCATGGCTGTGGTCATCTGATGTGCACACATCTTTCCATTAAATCCAGGCTGTAAGATATCTGCAGATAAAATGGAGTTCATTAGAGAAACTTTGGGGGATCGTCATTTCTATCTTTATATTTTGGACTCTGAGCTACTTAATGTAAGACCAACTCTGGACCCAAAGGAAGCCACAGAAAACAACCTGTAGGCCTTAAATGGTTTTCTATTGTTTGACTTTTGTTCTTGAACACAATGTTGGCCTCATTTGATGAACAAAGGACTTGGGGAAATAGCTCTTGCTTTCTTTGTTGTGTATTCATCTGTGAATTACTCTCCCTCACCTTTTCTCAAACACTGGCAAGTCCTTTTGACCATTTTAAGAAGAAGGCAGAGATAAACACCTTTTTAAACTGCTCAGATTTTTCTAACAGGCCTCTCACTCTATTTCAACCCAGGTTGGAGTCTAGAGGCAGACTAATACACACCCTTTCTCTTCTCGAGATTACAAAACACTTTCTTTGTGAAGCATTTGTGACCCATACTTCCCAATTTTATGTCTCCTGATATAAAGCCTTCAGGGATACATTTTTAGGTCCATCTTTAGATCAGGCAATATTGAAGATTACTGAGATTAAATCAGATGAAATATGACTGGTGTCAACTTGCTAAAGCTATCTGGAGATACGTCATGTTATACAGAGAAATCATTTACACGGATAAAGGCTGATCATTGACAGAATTACAACATCTGAAGAAAATAATTAAATCCCCCATTTCTGCAGTCTGATGTGCAACTGAAAATGATAAATCCCCCATTTCTGCAGTCTGATGTGCAACTAAAAATGATAAAGATATCCTGATTGTATATCTTATGAAATGCTGTATTTTATTTAAAAATTTCTATTTAATTCCATGCTTCTCTGCTGAAAAAACATGAAGATGCATAAATCCACAGTATTCAGCCATGATCTGATTATACCAAGGACACAGATACCTTGACTTACATATTTTAATGTGATGTCATTCCATAATTGCTAGGCACATAAATCCAGGTACATGCCTTTAATCTAATTGTAAGAAGGCATTCTCAAACCATTAGTGGATAGTTTGCGGCATTTGAAAAGACTTGTTCCCTGGAAGCTTGAAAATATTATTGTCCAAAAAAACTTCTAGCCACCTCAAAGGCTGAGAAACCAACCTCAAAATTTAGAGGTAATCTATGGCATAGAGTCTGCAGTATGATAATAACACATCTGTAAACAAGGGAAGAACCAGGCTTTGTTTTGCATGGTGCATTCCAAGTTCATAATTGTTCCTTGTTCACAGAAACTGCCAGCTCAGTCCTGTTCTGGACTTATGGCTTGCAGCAAGAACAGTGTATTACAGGAGGTCATGAATTCCTGCGAATCAAAGTCAATGATTCAAAGCACTTATGTTATATTTAAATATTTGCACCAGAAGATCCATTTGTATTGAAAAAGTGTAGATTTCCTCAGGCCTATTAAATATTCTCAACTACCATCTTTGTACTGACAACATCAAACCAACAATACCTGGAAAAAATCTCTTTGGGATCTCCAATCTTTTTGTAGCTTTAGTTAACTTCAGAAACTCATTCCTTGTTCACCTCAAAAAATAAAAATAAGCCTTAGGAAGATAAAGGCTTCCTCTCCATCTCCTATGTGAAGTTCTGCAGACTTAGCCTCACACATTTTTGTAAAAGAGTACAACTCTTCAAGTGACTGATTGATAGAGAAACTGATTCAGCTCATATCTGCACAAAAAGAATTCCTAGCACTCCAAAATAAAGGTTTTCTCCATTTTTTTCTGCTCAAGGTTAAATTTAATTTCCACATAAGCCCTGTTTAGAGGCTGAAGCACACACTGCAGGTCCCTGGAGTTGCTGCTGCTCTTCTGAGCTGAATTGTGGCTATTACAGTCATTGTCAAATACTACTGTAAAACATCATTGACTCCCAAGGGTGCTGTGTCCCCCAGCTGTAGGTGGGGAAGATAAACATGCAGAAACTAACCCCAACCTTCCTGCAAGCCACATTGACAGTCTTTAACTTCTGTCCTGACAGGTTGTAATGTGAATTATATGTACTTAAACAAAAATCCTGTCCATGACAGCAGTTTGTAATCCTGATAAACCAATGAGACACTCTCCAGGTGTTAAATTAATACAAGAGGAGGTGGTTTAATAATTTCTGTTGTAATTTCAAGGAAGTGACTGGAATAATGCCAGGTATTAATTTTCCCCAAGTCATCACAAAATGAAATAATTCTCTATAATCTGAAGTAATGTTTAGGTCCTTGTTACAAACAAATCTGACAGGACTTGTAAACTCCAATAACTAATACAACAATTTCATGACCTCGACAGGTTACACATGTTTGAAATTGGGGCAGGTATCTGCTGTTGATCTTGTACCTCCAGCTGCTCTGGTATAAAAGCTCTTCTCTCTCATTGCTCTTCCAAACACTTCCCTTGACTTCTTAGTGACTTGGGTAAGTCTGATTCTTCTCTGTTGCTATCAGTGTATCTTTCTATTGTTGATTTCAACTTCATTTGATGTCCACCATCGATATTGTTGAGTGTGTCTGCATTGCCTTGTGACAGAGATACTAATGCTGGTGCTGGGGTGGCAGATAACACCTATTTGGTGCGTGGGACCCTGTGGAGTTCTTAGTGTCAGAAACCATGGGACCCTGAAGATACTGGATGATGCTCTTAGTCATCTGGTTTAGTTTTAGATAGTCCTGTGAGGAGCAGGGAGTTGGACTCGATGGTCTTTATGGGTCTCTTCCAACTTAAGATATTCTATGATTCTTACCTTAATGCATTTAACCTATTCCAGAGTTTGCATATGACATTCAATGTTTAATAAGGGCATCACTGCTGCAGTTGTTCATGCAACCTGAGATGAACAAGCGATACATCTGAGAAGGTTGTGAGTGGTGCCCCAGTACAGTGAATCTTCTGGCTGTCCTTTACTTTCTTGCTTTCATATTCTTCCTAAGAACCCTGCTAAGGACTTGCAGGACATGGTGAACAGAGAAAAGTAAAATCATCATTGGAGAAAATAATTAAGTTTAGAGGGGAAAATATAGGTTCAGGTCTTGGGCTTACCAAGAAGTCCTGGTTTGTCCTGGGAATGATAATTTGAAATGACTTTTTTGAAAGACATTAGGGACTAAAATGTTATTTATATTGAAATTGTCCAGGTTGTATCCATACACTGTCTGCATGGGTGGGAACTGGGATAATAATGCTGCCATCAGTCCTTTATTTTCTTGTCATATGGCTTTCTGAGCAATCTGGGCACTGACAATCCTATAATCTGTTGTTCCTACAACTCTCAGCAAAATTGGAATGAGTGGGAAGAAGAAGCTACTGTAATTAAGTTATGTATAAACTACATCTCATGTAAACCTGCTGAACCCAAATCCAAGTTTTCCTACTGACTCATCAAATGACCTTGGACAAAGTCACTTTGGTCTCTCTGCTTTTGCTTCTTAGTTTTCTGTTTAACGTGTAGAGATAGATGTAAGTTCTTTGCAGGATATTTGTGAGGGACAACACTTTCAGAGTTAGGCATAACATTTCCCATGTGCTTTTACATCTGTAGACATCTTCTAGAGAACTTTCAAAAATCTGCATTTTGAAAATAGAGGATTATGACTGCAAAGTGGGAAATCAACGTATTTACTCAAAATCCTGTACTTGACTCATTATTTTAATGTATAATGTAAACTGTTGAATTTCAAAGTATTTGTCTTCTATTTAGTTCACTCATCGGTGTGTGTTGCAGCTTACCTTCCCATCCCTGCGAGATGGCTTGCTACGACCTGTGCTCCACTGCTGTTGGTGGCATCACCCGTCCCCAGCCCCTCGCTGACAGCGGGAATGAGCCGTGTGTCCGTCAGTGCCCCGACTCCACGACTGTGATTCAGCCGCCCCCAGTCGTCGTCACCTTCCCTGGCCCCATCCTCAGCTCCTTCCCTCAGGAATCTGTTGTGGGATCCTCTGGAGCACCCGTCCTTGGGGGCTATGGGGGTTACGGCTCCCTGGGCTATGGGGGTCTGTATGGCTATGGGGGCTATGGCTCCCTGGGCTTTGGGGGTCGGTATGGCTATGGAGGCTCTCTTGGTTACGGGGGTCTGTATGGCTATGGGGGATCCTCCCTGGGCTATGGGGGTCTGTATGGCTATGGTAGACCCTATGGCTATGGCTATTGCAGCCCTTACTCCTACTGGTACAACAGGTATGGACGTGGCAGCTGCGGGCCCTGCTAAACCCTGTGGAAATATCCCCTGCGTAAGGAATAACCAGGAACTGAGAGATACAACCTTGATCCCCTGCAGTGGTCCCCAAGGAGATGTTGTGAACTCCTGATCACTGTCACCCCACTGCAGTGGATCTGGGATTACACAGCATGTCCGTAATTTCTTCACCCTCTACTCATTGTCTTTTGGGCTTTTTTTTCCATCTATGTGTATAACGGGCGGGATAAAACAATTCATTAATATTCTTATTAAAAGTCACTTCACTGTCCAACTGAAGAAGAATAATTATGCAAAGAATTGCCTGCACTCTGCATATTCCTGATATTCTGCAATGTTTTTCTTGGAATGTTTATTGCTCATTAAAGTGATTCTACTCTGCATCAAACAAATCAACTTCTAGTTTTAATTTCTTCTGCTATGGATATACACCTATCCTCTCTGTAAATGGGGAAAACTCACATTCTTACGTAGGATGAGGCTCAGGCTTCAAAAATACAGCTGAAATAGCCCAGCTATCAGTGAAGTCAGTCCTCCATTATTGCACTCAGTGGACATATATGGGAGCAGGAATGCTCCCTCCCCAGCTGGCCACGGTTACAATAATAACATTATGTTTAGAAATAAACCATGCTAAATGTCCATTCCTTAATGAGCCACTTGAATGTCTTTGCTGATCACAGCAGGAGCAGAGCCAGTGGCTCAGCTGAGGCTGGATTCAAAGCAGATTATGGGGAAAAGGGTGGCAGATGAGGCCCTCAGGTGGGAGTGATCCTCCTGAGTCAGAAGGGATTTAGGGAGGTGGGGAGAGAGTGGTGAAGGGTGTTGACATGGAGCTGCTGAGAAGGAGAGGTTTGGAGGAGCAGTGACAAAGAAAGGAGCTCTTCAGAGGTGGGTAGACTAACTAGTAGGCGTTTTAGATCAGGAATATCACAGGAGAGGCTGAAGAGCTGCTGAAAATGGAGGTTACTGTTCTGAGGACTTCCCATGCAGAAGGAATTGGAATAATGTGACAATGTTTAGGATATGTATATGGGGTTATGACATTCCCTACCTTTAAGGCTTTCTGGGCACTGTAAGTCTGTTGTATATGCTCCAGCTGTTCTTGCTGACATAGATGAATTAGTCCTTTAGGTAGCTGCATGGAGTAGCTGTTTTTATGTCAAAAAACATACAACACCTTAAATTTTAAGATTATACAGACCATTACCCACACTTCAGATTTAAAAGTTCTATTGTATGACCTAGAAAACTTTATTTCTTTAAGGATTTGACAGAAAATTAATTTAACTTGCTGCAGAGACTAATACTGAGGACAGAGTTTAACTATTTGAGTAAGAACCTGAAATTCAAAGAGACAAATCAGAGACTGACTTGGAAGAAATTCTTACTGAAGTCTAATCTTTTTAGGAAAGAGTTTAAAACTAGTAAGCTACTCTTTAATTTCTCTACCACTATTAATCTGTAACCAGTGGATGTACAACCATGAAGCCAAAATCTTCAAAACTGTCAGGAGTCTTTGTATGAAAGATGGGAAGGGAAGACAGTAGTTCATTCTGTGCTGATGGCTTTGCACCGCTTTTATACATTTGAAATCCCTGATTTTGGGGGCAGAAGATTCACCTACATAGTTTAGACTGTTACTGACAGCTGCACAGTTTAGACTTTTCCTAAGGCAAATAACAAGGGTAAAAACATGAGAAAAGAACACCAGAACATGGCAACTTTGATGCAATAAGTTTTTAATGGTAGTGAGAAAGGAATACATTTTCCAAGTCTCCAAGAAGTATGAAACTGTTCTCCAGTCAGGGATACATTCGCATATGATTGATTTTTTTTTTTTTTTTTTTTTTTTTTCCTCCTTCCTGAGTCTTAACTGTTAATTTGAACAAACAGGAATTGTTTTGAACAACTTTGTTACAAGTTTAGCCCAGGCAATACGGAAATGTGACAGGCGAAAGATTAAGGCATAAACTGAAAGTAGAAGCGAAGAAGAGAAGTTCAGAAGGGGCTGAAGTAGTACAGCTCTGTGGTCTTGGAACACTGCAGTGGAGGTCCAGACCTCTTTAGCTGTGGAACAATCACATCTCATTTATCAGTTATACCTCACTTGGGATATTTCTGTAGGATTTAGCAGGGCCCGCAGCTGCCACGGCTGTACCTGCTGTACCGATAAGAGTAAGGGCTGCAATAGCCATAGCTGTAGGGTCTACCATAGCCATAGAGACCTCTGTAACCCAAGGAGGAACCCCCATATCCATACAGACCCCCATAGCCCAGGGAGGATCCCCCATAGCCATACAGACCCCCAAAGCCCAGGGAGCCATAGCCCCCATAGCCATACAAGCCCCCGTAGCCAAGGGAGCCGGAGCCCCTATAGCCCAGGGAGCCGTAACCCCCATAGCCCCCAAGGACGGGTGCTCCAGAGGATCCCACAACAGATTCCTGAGGGAAGGAGCTGAGGATGGGGCCGGGGAAGGTGACGACGACTGGGGGCGGCTGGATCACAGTCGTGGAGTCGGGGCACTGACGGACACACGGCTCATTCCCGCTGTCAGCGAGGGGCTGGGGACGGGTGATGCCACCAACAGCAGTGGAGCACAGGTCGTAGCAAGCCATCTCGCAGGGATGGAAGTCTGTCTGTAAAACATTGTTATTTATGTTCACGTTAAAGAAATATGAAAAATTAGGTTGTGATGATGCAGTCCAACAGGTTATCAATAATAAATCTGGAAAGTAAACATATTTCCTATTAATATTCTTCCTAGCACTATAATCTGGAGGTTAGTTTTGACTTTAGTTTGAAAAATTAATGTACTTTTCAATTGTATCTTTGATACTTCCAGATGAGCTAATTTTGATGTTACATTACTATTAGTTGATGGTTTCTACTTAATAAGTTTGATCTTTCCTCTTATAAACTCAGTGGAATTCTGATAAATGCAGCCATATACAGCCATGTATACAAACTATTCTTCGTCTCCTAAAATAGTCAAGGAATTCTTTGAAGAGCTAAAATGTTACAAGTTTGGGATTCAAAACTGCTTGATATATCCTTCTTCTGGAGCCTATCTTTACAGGGCCTGGTAACAAATGAGAAACCAAACATTATTTCCAGCAGCAAATAATCTACAGATCACTGACAGCCTGACAGTAACTGAAGAGGACTTGGTCTTAAGTTAAAATCTAGAGTTCTTGACAGCAAGTTAAGTTTAGTGAAGTCTGAGAGAAATCTGACTTACCCAATTCACAAAGGCGAGTAAGGTGAGAGAAGTGGATAGAAAGACTTAATGCAGAGAGCTTTTATACAGTTCCGTCAGTTGCCTGGAGGACATTCGGCAACCTATGGGTGAGTTCATAATTAGGTACCAACCCCAAATTGTAGGACACGTAGTTCCTCAAAGTGCTGAAATTGTTTTTGCTTATTGGTTGTGCATTGCAGGCGCTTCAAACCCACGTATAGCGTGACATGAACACTCCACCACAGACCTCTCCATTATCTCCAGGCTTTATATGTGGAATTATTTTTTATTATTCCATTGCTCTATTTAGCATTAGGGGAGGAAGTAAGATGAATTAAATTGTTTAATAGTCTTGCATAATTAGGATGACAGGAAGATAGTAATTTCTTTTGTCCAGTTACAGGTCTTTTAGTGTAAACAACAGATAAAATGGAATTTCTTTTAGGATGACAAATGTAGGCTGGAGACAAATAACAAGGGTAAAAGCTTTCTTTCTGCAGGCTTAGCACTTCTACCTCCAGATACTCAACACAAGGCAAACACAACAATCAGGAGCATCTTTTAATGGCTTTTGGACGGTTCTTTACTAGTTGTCTTTCAGTACTGGGAACAGAGAAATGTTTCAGCTGGAAGTCACAAGTCTATGGAAATTGATTTTGCTGAGTTCTTTCATAAAGATTTGCTTTCCTTTATAATTTATCATGTTTTTTCCTACTGTTATGTGTTGGAGAGATATACCTAGGGACATAGGACTAAGAAGCAAGTAAATCGGGCAGTAAGATATGATTACTGAAAGGGATTCTAGCCCTGACACAATGAAGACAGACCCCATTGTACCCTGGGTTTTTTTTTTTTGGTTAATAGTTCAGTTAAACAGATTTCTATTTCTGGACTAATGTGCATTTTAATGAAAAATAAGGTAGATTTTATTTTTAAAGTCAAGGGAAGATCCGAAAAGTGTTATAAACCACGAACTGATTACGGGAAAAACCCAAGTGACCTTATTTTACCTATTTTAATGTGATAATCCCTCATAATATTGGGGTGTATGCATCCAGGCATACTTTTCATCTAATTATGACAGAGTATGTACAAGCTAGTAATGGGTGTTCACAAAGTATTTGAAAATCCCTTGGAATGTTCTTGTAAAACTCTGAGATGGCTTTTCTTTCAGTATTACAGCTCAGGAAATCTCCATATGCATCTACCGATGTGGAAAACCTCATAATATAGAGATAATATGTAGTTTGAATATAATCAAGTTGATGATTATGATAATGACATAGTATTGTAATAATGGCATAAACAAAGAAAGAAACCTCAGCAAAAGCCAGCATTTGCCTTTCCCAGTAGATTCTCACCTCATAATTGCTCTCCATTGAAAGATGCCATCAATGATAGGGTTAGCTACAAGGTCAGTTGTAGACCAGGATCAAGGACTCCAGAGGAGCAAATTAGAAATTAAAGTAAACTTCAGGAAAATAAACCATCTCAACTTTGTGAATCAAACTGAGCTGAAAGTTTTGAGTAACCCTGACTGCTTATTCCAGATATTCACTGGCAATCAGTCCACTTTATGTCACTTTGATGACATTTTACATATTTTCATGTCTAAAAGGTTGCTTTTATCTGTTGGATATGCAAGTGGAATAATTGCTGCAGAAATCATTTAACACCTATGAATGGTCTTTGATTTAAGCAGGAGGTCTCAGAATAAGCCTGTTCAATGAAGCTGCAGACAGGCCAGAAGAAGGGCAGAGATAAAACGTAGAAGGTGAACAAATAGGACACCAGTAAGAATTTCATATTCTGGGATGTATCCATTGAGTTGATAATGCTATTAGACCGTGGCTTACTCTGTTAAAATCTTACTTCACAATTCTCTTCTTCCTTTCAGAAAGCAAAGGCTCTTTTTCTAATACAGTTAAATTTGGGGTTTCTTCTGTGTACCTTCTGCAGAAACACCCATCCATCTCAGTAAATCACAAATTTATATATTAATTCAATGTACACTTCAATTATTTTGAGCTTTCAATCCTGAGCATTAAAAATATAAATATCTCTCAGAACTAAATTGAGATTTAAGCTGTAGTTTGAGGGTCAGACAAAACCTTAGACTGTTTTGGCTGTTTGGGAATGCTCACAGCTTAATTTAACTTAGAGAGTACTGAGAATCCTCCATGGATTCCAATATGAATTGTATCACATGTCAGAAATAAACCTAAACACAAAAAATATTGCCAGCCTTCCTGAGGATTTAACAACAGACTGTATTTTATCTTTAAGAAGAGAGAAAACTTACATAGAAAACTTAGAAAGAAACACCTCACAGCTGGTTATTTCTGATAAATGTCTGATCATCACTGTCATATAAGACATCAGAAGAAGAATATCTAGGTATAAGCAGCTTACTACATGGTGCAACTCCAAAGAGAATAGAAAACTGATATTAACTTCATGAATCATGTTTTAGGATGAAAGATGCATTAATTTCACCCATCACTCCTTTAGATGAAAGAATCTTGTGTGATGTAATGTGTGTATTATGTTACATGATAATTGAAATCAAGTAATAAACAAAAACAACGAAAAAATTTCATCACTTTGCAGAGCTATCAATACAAAAAATGTGCTGTGTCAACTAATTAGATTCATGTTCATGAAACCAGCTTCTCATCCCTCAGGCAGTCTGAACTGTATAAAAGCTCTCTCTGCTCAGGGTTCTTCCAATCTCTTCTCTTCACTTGTTCACAGCAAATTGGGTAAGTCTGAATCTGCTTTTTACAACTATTGGAGTAGCTCTTTGCTATACAGTTTAATCTAGGATGGTCTCTTCCAATTAGAAGTAATGTATAAAATTTAGGTGAAAAGATAAAGCCTACAAAAATTATTAAAAATGTTATGGACAGCTGTTCTCTGCATTCAGCTGTTCTCTGTATTTTGATTTCAAAGCAAAGTTTCCTGATGTGGCAGAAAATTACATTCCTTATTAAGTTACTTCTAGCAGCTGAAGAAATGATGTGACTAGTTCAACTTGCGTTCCTCTTCTCTATTCATATGGGTAACTGAAAATTATTTGAAAACGTTTAAATCTTCATGGTTTATAGGGAAATGCTGAACTTAGAGGCAAACCTTCCATTATCTCCAGTTTATTCTATTACAGATAACTCAAAGTGCTTTTACATTAATTCAAGATAAATGGGCATGAATTTTACCAGAGATCAGCCACTGGCTTAGAGTAGGACAGAGAGGAATTGAGAGATGTTGAAAATGCTCTGTAAGAAATCTATTTAATTAAGAGAAAGAGGGGTCATGGAGGGAATTTAAGGAGCTGACTGGTGAAGTGTTAGGTTTTTCATGTTAATGGGGGCAAGTCATTTGGGGTGAGACTTCTAAAATTGTTCAGAGCCCAGAGTGAAAACACTGTGGTGTTAAGCTAGTCATAAATATCTCAATGCCCTGATTCAGTGTTTGGAAATTGTGGGCCATAATCATTGCAATTCCCTTGTAATGTTCTCATCAAACAAGTTACTGAGCAAATCTGAATAGACAATGATTTATAATCCCTGTTCTGACAAGGCTCAGCACAAAGGAGATCAGTGGGAATGAAGAGTTAGTCATGAAATCATGCTTAACAACACACTCCATTCTTGGAATCCCAGTCCCTGCTGATCCACTGACTCACCAAAGCATCTGAGAAAATAACTTTGCTGCTCTGCTTCAATTTTAACTTCTAATAGACATAGGTAAATTGGTGTACTTCAAAACACTCTTGTCTGAGGAAAGACAGCAAACTCCATAGCACATTTATGTATGTAAATAATGTCTTGTACTTGGTAAAATTCACTCTTGTAGATTGATCACCATCCCTGCCAGATGGCTTGCTACGACCTGTGCTCCACTGCTGTTGGTGGCATCACCCGTCCCCAGCCCCTTGCTGACAGCGGGAATGAGCCGTGTGTCCGTCAGTGCCCCGACTCCACGACTGTGATCCAGCCGCCCCCAGTCGTCGTCACCTTCCCCGGCCCCATCCTCAGCTCCTTCCCTCAGGAATCTGTTGTGGGATCCTCTGGAGCACCCGTCCTTGGGGGCTATGGGGGTTACGGCTCCCTGGGCTATAGGGGCTCCGGCTCCCTTGGCTACGGGGGCTTGTATGGCTATGGGGGCTATGGCTCCCTGGGCTTTGGGGGTCTGTATGGATATGGGGGTTCCTCTCTGGGTTACAGGGGTCTGTATGGCTATGGTAGATCCTATGGTTCTGGCTCTTGCAGCCCATACTTCTACAGGTACAGCCATGGCAACTGTGGGCCCTGCTAAATCCCACAGAAATATCCCTTGACCAAAGAATGACTGGCAAATGAACGATACAATCTTGATCCTCATCTGAGCTTCTGAGTAAGGGGCAGATCGTCCAAGACTTCCACTTAATACAGTGGAGTCAGAACAGCTCCATAAATTACACTTCTCATTTCCTTCTTCATTTGTTTCATCTCCTCTTTCTTGCCTCTGTCAGTGGCCAAATGTATAACTCCACCATCATCCCAGAAAACACATGCTTCTCTCTGAAACCACCACTGCCTGGGAGAAGCCTGACGGAACAGCTCTCTTGAAGCGCGCAGGCACAATATGCCTGCCCCTGCCTTAGGTGTCTTCCTCAAGCGGGAGTTTTTCTGCTCTTGCAATAAAAAAAATCTTGCATCCCACATCTGCTTCCCTGTTTTTCATTTCAAGGAGCAGCCTGGGCTGCAGGGTTCTGTAGTCCCTCCAGCCAGGCCAGGGCTGTCTCCCAGCCCCAGCAGAGCCAGGCTGAGCTGCCTTTGTGGAGAGCCCTCAGCCTGGGCAGCTCTGGCCACACACGATCCTGCTGTGAAGAAACTTAACTGCCCAGTCTTTCATTGCTACTGAGCTCAAATTATCTCCCCTAGATGAATTATTTTAGTTGTCAGACTTCCAGTAGTTAGTCCATTTTTTTTTTTTCCCCCACTAGTTAATTTAGTGCTGTGATTCCTTTTAATTTTGCATCTTTCTATATGATGTATTAATCATCAAACTGTGTTCAAAGACAAAATAAAAAAAATGTGGCCTGAAGTTCTGTCAAATCATACTCTGAAGAGAAACAATAGGAGGAAGGTAAACAGTGGAAGCCATTTTTAAGATAGGCATCTGATGAGTAAAGATCAAGCAATACCTCTTCTTTTTTTGTTAATCACTGCTATGATAACAGTTGCCTCAGGGAAGTTCTGTGTGAGTCTAAGTCAGCTGAGTGAAGTAAAAAGAATATGAACTAATGCATTACAGAGGATTTACCTATTATTTCAGTGAGACGCTTTCAAAGAGAAGCTCCGTATATGAATGTACGATTTGTTGATCTCAACCCTCTGTCAGTGTAATGGACTAGTAAGTCTGATTTTAATAGGTAATTTCAGTGTTCCCTGCCCAAATGTAACTATGTCAGATGACTGTGTGATGTACTACTACTCAGTAGTTGCAAGTTGAAATGAAAATTAATCTATGGTACTCACAAATCTTGTTTTTAGTTTAAGAAAATACTATTTTATTTTTACTAATTAACAAATACTTATTGTGAATATTTTGATCAGAAAAAGTCCCTCACCGATATGTTCTCTTTTCTCTGCCTGCCTTATCCTCCCTGTCCGAACACTGCCTGACCTCGTGGCCCTGGGCTTTTTGGGAAAGGTGTAAAGAGGGTCTGGGGAGGGACTGGAGCTTGCAGGACCCAAGTGAGAGCCCAGGCCCTGCTGCAAGAGTGGCTGGGATGTGTGAAGAGCCTGGGCAGGTGAGGTAGAGAAGAAAGGCTCCTGCCTTTTGGGTACAAGGAGACAGCATTCTCTCTGCTGCTGCTCTCCATCCTCACATGATTTGAGGCAAGGACACTGCTGCCATGAATTCCCAGGAGCTTGGCAACCAACTTCCTGGCTTGTGCCACACCAGCCCTGCACTTGCTTAGCTCAGGTACCTCTTTTGTGCTGAGCAAAGCTCTCTTCCCTCCCAGCTTGTTCAGCCTAGGGCAGTTCCTGGGACAGCTTTTCAAAACATGGATGCCTGGTTTCCTCCCTGTTTCTCTTCTGCTCAACACCAGGCTCCTTGTTTGAATGCACAGCCTCTAAGAGGTATTTCAGTGTAAATCCTACACGATCACAGCTGAACACCTGAGCTCTGACTGCCAACTTTTCCACAGATTCTCTGAACAAGGCAGTGTCAGGCAGGTAGCAGCTGGCACCCAATTAGATGTGTATTGTGTCAGACAGCAAGTGCCTAGCCCAAGATAACAAGATTGGTGAGAGCTATTAGCACTCAGCTAACATGATTACATAGCTGCTATCTGGGCTGGATGCTTGTTCAGGGTGATCTCATGTCTGATTACAAAATAGTACACAGAGATACCCTTTCTGTTACTGTCTAATGTTATATGGAAGCTATAGGAATGAAGGGACTTTACTACATCAGTTACTCAAGGATCTGTCTCAGAAAACCTCTAATTATTTGTTTTCTTTAATGGCATTGGCACATAATTTGGGAGCATTCTGTTTTATGTTCTGATAACATAAAGCTGAATGGCATTAAACAGGAGGTAATCATACTTTAAGACTGGAAAAACAAGATGGCTTAACTGATGGGAGTAACAGTAACGGTATAATCTTCAGTAATACAGTGCAAAGCCATGCACCTGCTGACTACAGAGAAAAGATCTGGTGTAACACAGCCTATAATCTGAAAGAAGTGACAGAAGAGTGAAAATTCTTTGAGTATCCCCAAATAGGGAATGGTAAAGTATAGGGAGGTAGCATGATCTTGAGTGAATCCATTGTAAATACAGAATACGGGACAGTTGTGGTAATATAAGCAGAACCTGTAAAAACAAGGAGAAAACCACATCCAATTTCCATTTGACAGCAAACATGTCACTACTACTCCAAAAGACATGATGAATCCAAGAACCATGAATGACACTGATTTTAATTAATCTCAAATGTATCACAATAAGGGGTAAAATAATGTTGCGGGAATGGTCATGTTGAGTAAAACTAAGAAAAAGAGGATCTCTGTTTGCTTTTGACCACAAGAGAGTTTAAAATGTCCTGAATAAGATACAATAGCAGTTTTGTAGAAGTATGAAATTTGGAGTGCAAGAAGGAAGCATCATGCCTTCTTCCAGAAGACCATCAATAGTAGCTAAGACATTACCCTCTAATACACAAATACTATGGCCTGAATATATATCTGTATACATATTTATATCCAAGTATGCATATATTTCATGAAGAGGCATCTGCAGTCCAACCACCTGCTGACAATTCTTTGCTACATTTCTGTAATTGAATCATTCCTCTCCCTAGTTAGGGAAAAGAAGATTTTCCCTATGTAAGCACCATTAATGTGGACCTGGAATAGAAGCCAGAAATAACTGCTTCGATCTAGGAATGAAAAGATGTATAATATCCACAGGTAAAATATGAAGAGACCAGCATACGCTTGCAAACAGCAGCTGGGTACTGAATTTTATACAACGCGAGAGGGAGATATGATTTTCATGCAGAAAAATTTATTGCACGCAGAGTGGCAAAAAAGGGAGATGGACAGACCCAGAGCATCTGGTTGCCATATTTTGGGAGAGGCAGAGGTATCTTCTCCAGAGCATGGTTTCTTGCTCCTAATTCCAACTTCCTGTGGAAATGTAGATCTCCAGGACTGAGCCCTGCAGCCTGGCAGAGCCTTTCGGGTGGAGGTGGTGCCCCGTGCGAGAGCCGGGAGGAGAAGGGAGGGGAGGAGAGCAGAGGGCAGGAGAAGAGGGCAGGGAAGGGGCGAGAGTGTGCGGCACTGGCAGCTGCCCAGGCCCTGGCTGGGGCTGGGGCTGCTCAGCAGCGCTGAGTGCCTCGTGCCCGCCGGCTCAGCCCTGCACGGGGGGTGGTGTTGGCGTTTGGGCTGGGGCCAGCGCCTGGGGCTGGGCTGGGTCTAGCAGGGCCCACAGGTGTCCCAGAGCTTCTTGCTGTAGCGGGGCAGCGCGCAGGGGCTGCAGGCGGGAGAAGCGTAGGCTCTGCCAAAGGTGCAGAGGCCCCCCGAGCCCAGCGTGGCCCCGGCGCCGTAGAGGCCCCCCAGCCCCAGGGAGCCCCCAAAGGTGGGTGCTCCGGAGGAGCCCACCACGGCTTGCTGGGGGAAGGAGCTGAGGATGGGGCCGGGGAAGGTGACCACGACGGGGGGCGGCTGGATGAAGGCCGACGAGTCGGGGCACTGCCGGGCGCACAGCTCGTTGCAGCTCTCGGCGATGGGCTGGGGGACGGCGACGCCGGTTTTCGGTGGGCACAGGTCGTAGCAAGACATCTTTGTGTGAGAGAGCTGAGCCTGAAACACACGGTGCCAAGGAAAGAGAATAGGAGTGAGGAAGAGATATCACAGTTCCCTGTTGCGCAGTTCCTCGGTGCCAGTCAGCTGGAGAGGCCACAGCCACTGCTTTGCCCTCACTGCCCACTGCTAATCCTTTACTCAGACAGCCCCACTCAGCGCCCTGCTCTCTGCACCCCGAGGACACACAAAGCCTCCCCGAGAGCCTGTACAGAGCCTGGCTCTGCGTGTCCCGGCCACGGGGCTCCTTCCTCCTCCCGCGGCGACTCAGCCCGCCCTGCCCATCCAAGCCAGCTGCCAGCACGCCGGCTGCCCTCAGAGCTCTCCTGGCCACGGGGGCCCTGAGCCGGCCCCTGCCAGGGGAGGCCCAGGCCCACAGGCACCCACCTACCCTTTTCCTGAGCAGAGCGAGGCAGGAGCGGTGGATGCCAGAGCTCACGGAGGGCAGCGCTTTTATGCCGGGCCAGGGAGGATGGGGAGGAGCTGGCCAAGCTGGGGGCACGTGGCTCGTGGCGGCCAAGCCCCTGCTTCATCCTTGCGTGGCGCGGGGATGTTGTGCTGACGCCGTTTCCTCACCAGCCCCAACCCGCTCTATCAGCCCCGGCAATTCCCCTGCTCGGTCACTTGCCAGCTGCCACCTCATGGGCCAAACGAGCCGCAGCGTCTTTTCATTATCTCTGGGTGTAAGAGGGCACGCAGCGTGACACAGGCTGACTGCCAGCACCCTGCGTGCCATAGCTCTTCCCCAAGGGCCTGGTCTCGGGGCGGCCCCACGGCTCCTTGGCTGAGCCACAGGGAAGACCAGGGTGGTGGTGCTGGCCAAGAAGGCGGCCTCGCAAAGGCCTCCCGCATACCAGTGACCGCATGACGTGCACTGTGTGGCTCTAATCTACAGAGGTGTGAGGTTACGAAATGGCAAATCAAAGGTGCTTCTCTGTGGCACTGCCTGCTCAGCACGATGCATCACTCGCCAGCCCAGGGGAGCCGGCCTCCATCTGCCTGCAGGCGTTGGCCATCGGCCTCTGCCCATCTCCGGGAAGAGAGATCCCTCATGCCCGTCCCTGAGGCGCATGGTGTGAGGATCACAGATCCCCACGCGGGCCCATGAGGACCACGCTCGTGCCAGGCGTGACCCAAACGCTCCAGCCCCTCTCAGGTGTCCCGGGAGCCCCATTGCTGGGGGCCGGTGCTGGGCAGGGGCTGCCGTGGGCGTGCTGGGAGCTGGCTGTCAGGTCTGAAGGACCTTCTGCAGCAGCCCCTGCCTGTCAGATACCTGCTGCCGTTGAGCCCCTGAAGCACAAAGGGCAGGAAAGCCTCTGAGGCGGCGTGAGCTGCTCTGGCGAGGGGATGCTGACTCAGGGAGCGGCAGGAGCAGGACAGCCCCGTTGTCATCGGCAGGAGGGAGTGCCGCGCCTTCAGATTGGCCCAGGGGGTGCTGAGCAATGGCGGGGATGGTATAAAAGCTCTGCCTCTGCCACGCTCTCCCATCCACTGCTGTGGCCACCTTCTCCTCGGGAAACAGGGTAAGGCTGTGAGCGCTTCTCCTCGTGGCTCCCTGTGCCACCTTCTCCACCTCAACCATTTCCCTCTGCTCTTCTCGTGCAATCTCTGCAGAGCACCGTCCGATCCCACACAAAGATGTCTTGCTACGACCTGTGCCCACCGAAAACCGGCGTCGCCGTCCCCCAGCCCATCGCCGAGAGCTGCAACGAGCTGTGCGCCCGGCAGTGCCCCGACTCGTCGGCCTTCATCCAGCCGCCCCCCGTCGTGGTCACCTTCCCCGGCCCCATCCTCAGCTCCTTCCCCCAGCAAGCCGTGGTGGGCTCCTCCGGAGCACCCGCCTTTGGGGGCTCCCTGGGGCTGGGGGGCCTCTACGGCGCCGGGGCCACGCTGGGCTCGGGGGGCCTCTGCACCTTTGGCAGAGCCTACGCTTCTCCCGCCTGCAGCCCTTGCGCGCTGCCCCGCTACAGCAAGAAGCTCTGGGACACCTGTGGGCCCTGCTAGACCCAGACCCACAGACCCCACAGCCCCTGGGACCCCTCAGCCTCACGCCTCCTCTCCTATCTACGTTCCTTCTCCTCGCTCCCTTTTCCGTATCTCCTCCTTGCTCCTGCCCATGCCCAGATGCATGACTCCACCATCATTCCACCGGGCACTTGCTGGGACCTCCAACAGCCACCGCCTGCAAGAAGCCTGAAGGAACAGCTCTCTTGAAGCCCGCAGGGACAACCTGCCTGCCTCTGCCTTAGGTGTCTTGCTCCACTGGGAGTTTTTCTGCTCCTTCAATAAAACCATCCTGCATCCCACACCTGCCTCTCTGTTTTCCTTTTAAGCAGCAGCCTGGGCTGCAGGGCTCCCTGGCCCCGCACGTGGCCCCTGTCAGCGGCGCCAGGGACATGCCCCAGCCCCAGCAGAGCCGGGCTGAGTTGCCTTTGGGGAGAGCCCACAGCCCTGGGCAGCTCTGGCCACCCACGGTCCCGCAGCGCAGCTCCAAGGGCCCTGCCTGAACGTCGGCAGCTCCTTTGTCTGCAGGACCTGAAGCCCTGAGGTGTTTGCAGAGCTCCAGCCTCTCTGGACACAAGCGCGTTGTAACAGGGCCTGGGAGCCCTTCACGGTCAATGCCTGCCATATCTACAATCCCTTTCTGCCTCCACCTGCCTTTTGAAGCCAAAAAGAAGCAGCAATCGGGAGGTTTCCCCTTACTCTTCCTTATCCCCCTCCCTTTTTTATTCTTCTTCACTTTTCCAATCTACCTTACTCCCCGCCTTCTTCTCCTTCCCGTTCCGTTTCCAATTCTTGTCCCTCTTCCGCTCCGCCTTCCCATTCTTCATTCCCTTCCCCTTGTCGTCTAGATTCTTCTTCATTTGCTTCCTCATCCTCTTCCCCTTTTTGTCAGCTTTTCCTCTTCGCTTTCCATTCCCCTGCTCTATCCTCTTCCAATTTTTCCCTCATCTTTCCTTTCTCCTTCACTTTCCCTTAGCCCTTCCCTTAATCCTTTGCCATCCCCTTTAATTTCTCCTTTCCCTCTTCTTGCTGACGCTCTCCCACCCAGCAAAGACACACACCCGCAGTTCTCACCTGTTGCCTGCCGCAGACTCACAATCACAGAGAGCACCTCCTGATAATTGTGGCGGGAGCCTTTGCAGGGCATCTTGCCATGCTGCAACCTCAAGCAGAGAGACCCAGAGCCGGCTGTCCAGCACTCTGTCCGGACTGCTTTTGCACGTCTTCCACGACAGACACTCTGCATGCTCCTGAGGCAGCCTGTTCCAGTGCACGGTCACCCTCGCGGTCAAGAAAGGTCTTTTAGGATGCTGAGGTGGAGCCTCGTCTGCTTCAGCTCACAGCCACTCTCTTTTGCGCGGGCACTGGACACCTCTGACAAGAGCCTGGCTCCACCTTCTTGATCCCTTCCCTTCAGATGTGTGTGCACGTTGATGACACTCGCCGAAGGATGCTCAGGACCAAGATGAAAACTGCCATCGCTCACAGGACCATGTGTCGACGACCATTCTGCAGGTGGGGGATTAAACACTGCCTCTTGTCCAGCCTCCTCTGTGCAGGTGCCCGCAGATGCTGCCGTGCTTCTGCGGAGCAGCGGGACCCGGCGGAGCTGGTGCCGCTCCTGGGCTCAGGAGACCAGGCAAAGGAGCACTGCCAGCGCCTGTCCTGCTCCCTGCCCTCTGCCCTTTCCACAGATCCTGCAGGCCCCACCAAATTGCTCTCTCTCCCCTTCCTTCTGCCTCCATCCTCCCTTGCCAAAAACGGACCCCTCTCACCTCACCTAAGCATCTCTGGAACACCATTTCCCCTCCCACAGCTGTCAGGCACCCGACCCCTAGCACCAACCCAACCTGTGACAAGGAGGGAGGGAGACACGACTTGGATGCAGGAAAGTTTTATTGTTCCCAAGAGGGGCAGGAGAGACTCTCAGAGACACGGTGGGCAAGAGCCAGATCGTCTGGTTGCCATGTGCTGGGGGAGGCAGAGGGATCTTTCCTACAGCATGGCTTGTCGCTCCGGATGCCCCCTTGGTGCGGCACTGCAGATCCCCTAGGGCTTGGCCGTGCAGCCCGGCAGAGCATTTCGGGTGGAGGTGGTGCCCCGTGCGAGAGCCGGGAGGAGAAGGGAGGGGAGGAGAGCAGAGGGCAGGAGAAGAGGGCAGGGAAGGGGCGAGGGTGTGCGGCACTGGCAGCTGCCCAGGCCCTGGCTGGGGCTGGGGCTGCTCAGCAGCGCTGAGTGCCTCGTGCCCGCCGGCTCAGCCCTGCACGGGGGGTGGTGTTGGCGTTTGGGCTGGGGTCCAGTGGCCTGTGGGTCTGGGCTGGGTCTAGCAGGGCCCACAGGTGTCCCAGAGCTTCTTGCTGTAGCGGGGCAGCGCGCAAGGGCTGCAGGCGGGAGAAGCGTAGGCTCTGCCAAAGGTGCAGAGGCCCCCCGAGCCCAGCGTGGCCCCAGCGCCGTAGAGGCCCCCCAGCCCCAGGGAGCCCCCAAAGGCGGGTGCTCCGGAGGAGCCCACCACGGCTTGCTGGGGGAAGGAGCTGAGGATGGGGCCGGGGAAGGTGACCACGACGGGGGGCGGCTGGATGAAGGCCGACGAGTCGGGGCACTGCCGGGCGCACAGCTCGTTGCAGCTCTCGGCGATGGGCTGGGGGACGGCGACGCCGGTTTTCGGTGGGCACAGGTCGTAGCAAGACATCTTTGTGTGGGATCGGACGGTGCTCTGCAGAGATTGCAAGAGAAGAGCAGAGGGAAATGGTTGAGGTGGAGAAGGTGGCACAGGGAGCCACGAGGAGAAGCGCTCACAGCCTTACCCTGTTTCCCGAGGAGAAGGTGGCCAGAGCAGTGGATGGGAGAGCGTGGCAGAGGCAGAGCTTTTATACCATCCCCGCCATTGCTCAGCACCCCCTGGGCCAATCTGAAGGCGCGGCACTCCCTCCTGCCGATGACAACGGGGCTGTCCTGCTCCTGCCGCTCCCTGAGTCAGCATCCCCTCGCCAGAGCAGCTCACGCCGCCTCAGAGGCTTTCCTGCCCTTTGTGCTTCAGGGGCTGAACGGCAGCAGGTATCTGACAGGCAGGGACTGCTGCAGAAGGTCCTTCAGACCTGACAGCCAGCTCCCAGCACGCCCACGGCAGCCCCTGCCCAGCACCAGCCCCCAGCAATGGGGCTCCCGGGACACCTGAGAGGGGCTGGAGCATTTGGGTCATGCCTGGCACGAGCGTGGTCCGCGTGGGCCCGCGTGGGGATCTGTGATCCTCACACCATGCGCCTCAGGGACGGGCATGAGGGATCTCTCTTCCCGGAGATGGGCAGAGGCCGATGGCCAACGCCTGCAGGCAGATGGAGGCCGGCTCCCCTGGGCTGGCGAGTGATGCATCGTGCTGAGCAGGCAGTGCCACAGAGAAGCACCTTTGATTTGCCATTTCGTAACCTCGCACCTCTGTAGATTAGAGCCACACAGCGCAAGTCATGCGGTCACTGGTATGCGGGAGGCCTTTGCGAGGCCGCCTTCTTGGCCAGCACCACCACCCTGGTCTTCCCTGTGGCTCAGCCAAGGAGCCGTGGGGCTGCCCCGAGACCAGGCCCTTGGGGAAGAGCTATGGCACGCAGGGCGCTGGCAGTCAGCCTGTGTCACGCTGCGTGCCCTCTTACACCCCGAGATAATGAAAAGACGCCGCGGCTCGTTTGGCCCATGAGGTGGCAGCTGGCAAGTGTCCGAGCAGGGGAATTGCTGGGGCTGATAGAGCGGGTTGGGGCTGGTGAGGAAACAGCGTCAGCACAACATCCCCGCGCCACGCAAGGATGAAGCAGGGGCTTGGCCGCCATGAGCCACGTGCCCCCAGCTTGGCCAGCTCCTCCCCACCCTCCCTGGCCCGGCATAAAAGCGCTGCCCTCCGTGAGCTCTGGCATCCACCGCTCCTGCCTCGCTCTGCTCAGGAAAAGGGTAGGTGGGTGCCTGTGGGCGTGGGCCTCCCCTGGCAGGGGCTGGCTCAGGGCCCCCGTGGCCAGGAGAGCTCTGAGGGCAGCCGGCGTGCTGGCAGCTGGCTTGGACGGGCAGGGCAGGCTGAGTCGCCGCGGGAGGAGGAAGGAGCCCCGTGGCCGGGACACGCAGAGCCAGGCCCTGCACAGGCTCTCGGGGAGGCTTTGTGTGTCCTCAGGGATGCAGAGAGCAGGGCGCTGAGTGGGGCTGTCTGAGTAAAGGATTAGCAGTGGGCAGTGAGGGCAAAGCAGTGGCTGTGGCCTCTCCAGCTGACTGGCACCGAGCAACTGGGCAACAGGGAACCGTGAGATCTCTTCCTCACTCCTATTCTCTTTCCTTGGCACCGTGTGTTTCAGGCTCAGCTCTCTCACACAAAGATGTCTTGCTACGACCTGTGCCCACCGAAAACCGGCGTCGCCGTCCCCCAGCCCATCGCCGAGAGCTGCAACGAGCTGTGCGCCCGGCAGTGCCCCGACTCGTCGGCCTTCATCCAGCCGCCCCCCGTCGTGGTCACCTTCCCCGGCCCCATCCTCAGCTCCTTCCCCCAGCAAGCCGTGGTGGGCTCCTCCGGAGCACCCGCCTTTGGGGGCTCCCTGGGGCTGAGGGGCCTCTACGGCGCCGGGGCCACGCTGGGCTCGGGGGGCCTCTGCACCTTTGGCAGAGCCTACGCTTCTCCCGCCTGCAGCCCTTGCGCGCTGCCCCGCTACAGCAAGAAGCTCTGGGACACCTGTGGGCCCTGCTAGACCCAGACCCACAGACCCCACAGCCCCTGGGACCCCTCAGCCTCACGCCTCCTCTCCTATCTACGTTCCTTCTCCTCGCTCCCTTTTCCGTATCTCCTCCTTGCTCCTGCCCATGCCCAGATGCACGACTCCACCATCATTCCACCGGGCACTTGCTGGGATCTCCAACAGCCACCGCCTGCAAGAAGCCTGAAGGAACAGCTCTCTTGAAGCCCGCAGGGACAACCTGCCTGCCTCTGCCTTAGGTGTCTTGCTCCACTGGGAGTTTTTCTGCTCCTTCAATAAAACCATCCTGCATCCCACACCTGCCTCTCTGTTTTCCTTTTAAGCAGCAGTCTGGGCTGCAGGGCTCCCTGGCCCCGCATGTGGCCCCGTCAGCGGTGCCAGGGACATGCCCCAGCCCCAGCAGAGCCGGGCTGAGTTGCCTTTGGGGAGAGCCCACAGCCCGGGCAGCTCTGGCCACCCACGGTCCCGCAGCGCAGCTCCAAGGGCCCTGCCTGAACGTCGGCAGCTCCTTTGTCTGCAGGACCTGAAGCCCTGAGGTGTTTGCAGAGCTCCAGCCTCTCTGGACACAAGCGCGTTGTAACAGGGCCTGGGAGCCCTCCACGGTCAATGCCTGCCATATCTACTATCCCTTTCTGCCTCCACCTGCCTTTTGAAGCCAAAAAGAAGCAGCAATCGGGAGGTTTCCCCTTTCTCTTCCTTATCCCCCTCCCTTTTTTATTCTTCTTCACTTTTCCAATCTACCTTACTCCCCGCCTTCGGCTCCTTCCCGTTCCGTTTCCACTTCTTGTCCCTCTTCCGCTCCGCCTTCCCATTCTTCATTCCCTTCCCCTTATCGTCTAGATTCTTCTTCATTTGCTTCCTCATCCTCTTCCCCTTATTGTCAGCTTTTCCTCTTCGCTTTCCATTCCCCTGCTCTATCCTCTTCCAATTTTTCCCTCATCTTTCCTTTCTCCTTCACTTTCCCTTAGCCCTTCCCTTAATCCTTTGCCATCCCCTTTAATTTCTCCTTTCCCCCTTCTTGCTGACGCTCTCCCACCCAGCAAAGACACACACCCGCAGTTCTCGCCTGTTGCCTGCCGCAGACTCACAATCACAGAGAGCACCTCCTGATAATTGTGGCGGGAGCCTTTGCAGGGCATCTTGTCATGCTGCAACCTCAAGCAGAGAGACCCAGAGCCGGCTCTCCAGCACTCTGTCCGGACTGCTTTTGCACGTCTTCCACGACAGACACTCTGCATGCTCCTGAGGCAGCCTGTTCCAGTGCACGGTCACCCTCGCGGTCAAGAAAGGTCTTTTAGGATGCTGAGGTGGAGCCTCGTCTGCTTCA